GGACACCCAGACACCCCTGACCTGGAAGATGTGCCAACGTCCCTCCCACAGGCCAGAGGAGACAGTGGGAGGCAGTGAGGAAGTGAGGCAGTGCTTCCAGGAATGTCTGCCAACACAGGGTTTACAGAGGATGGCTTTCTCTTCAGGATGATACGAAGTCAGGCCCCAGGCACTCAATCTTCCCGAACCTCATAAAATGAACAGGATGAAAAGGATTTCAATTCATAGGTATCAGTCACCAGGAACAGTTCTCCATTCAACAAAAACCTAAGGACAGTCCTAGAACACAGCGCATCCTAGGCCCCGTGCTCACTGGAGGAGACAGATGGCAAAGCCCCAGAGCCATCATGGACGCAGTGAGACCAGCGACGCACAGACGGCACTTGGAACTGGTGGGTGCAGGCTGTGAGGCACAGGACGGGTTCCCTTTCTGAGCCAGGACAGGGTGTGGAAGGGTGGCACACAGCCCGGCTGTGGGTTACTGGGGTGCGACCTGTTCTCTCCAGAGGTTCACTCTGATCATCCATAAAACAAGAGGAGAGTCAGCGTCTGCTCTGAGCTGCTAGAAGGTTCAGGAGATAATGCCAGGAAGCTCAGAGCTGACTGACTGCAACCCATACTCCATCAATGCCTACTGGGCTTTAAACGCTCTGCACAAGTGGCGCCTGGGTGGCTCAGTCAGTCAAGCGTCTGAGTTCCGCTCAGGTCATGATCTCACAGGTCGTGAGTTCGAGCCCCGTGTCAGGCTCTGTGCTGGCAGCTCAGGCCTGGAGCCTGCTTCAGATTCTGTGTCTCCCTCTCTCTCTGACCCTCTCCTGCTCATGCTCTTTCTCCCTCTCTCTCAATAATAAATAAACATTAAAAATATATTAATAAAAAATAAGTAAATAAACAAATGCTCTGCACAGTTTTTGTCTTTACCCTAAAGGCCTCTTGCAGACTTCAGCCAGAGGGGAATGTGAGGAATGTGGGTTAAACCAAGAAACAGTCATGCTCTGTCCCTGCAGGAGGAGTCCCAGAAGGCCTGGCTCTCAGGATCACCAATAACGTGGTGACCCACTGGTGCCAGTGTGCGGCATCAGGACACTGAACAGTTTTCTTTGGGCTAATACTGGGTCGTTCCTGTCACAAGGTTGGGAGAAGCTGAAGCAGAACTGAGATCTTGTTTACTTTCCTGCCACTCACATGTTGGACGCACAGTGATCCCATGGCTGCACTTCCTAATCATGAGAAGAGAGATTTGGCCACACTGAACTTGACAATTCAGCCAGACCATGTGGAGCCCGGCTCGTGGCAACTGCAGATAGCTTGCACTTTTCCAGGTTGAGCAGGGCTGCCCCATTCACGTGCAACCATGTCCCCAAATGCATTACGCACCCCAATGTTTGAGCCAGTTGGTGGAAAGGAAGCCTGATTTTCTGAAGAATGCCCAGATCTGATGTGTGTGGTTTACGCTCTGAGCCCCATGGCCTCCTTGGGACTCAGCCTAGGGTAAGTCAAAAGCCCCAAGCATGACCTCTGCAGACTGGAAGGATGGGACAGGTGATAGCATGGTTTAAAACGGACACCTCAGGGGCGCCTGGGTGGCGCAGTCGGTTAAGCGTCCGACTTCAGCCAGGTCACGATCTCGTGGTCCGTGAGTTCGAGCCCCGCGTCGGGCTCTGGGCTGATGGCTCAGAGCCTGGAGCCTGTTTCCGATTCTGTGTCTCCCTCTCTCTCTGCCCCTCCCCCGTTCATGCTCTGTCTCTCTCTGTCCCAAAAATAAATAAACGTTGAAAAAAAATTAAAAAAAAACAAACAAACAAAAAAAAAAAACGGACACCTCAGCTTGTCCTGGTGGGAGTAGGTATCAGTCCTTTCTTTTTCTCTTGAAACTGCAGAGTTTGAAGGTGACGGACAGCTGCCCTCATGTCCACACGTACAGAATCAGACGGAGCAAAAAAGATGTACCCGGACTGCACACCTCCCAAGAACTGGTTTCCTGTTCAGTTCCAGCACCCCACAGACAGAATAAACATCATCAAGAACTAAAGCTTGCTGACATCACGGTTGATGGAATTACTTTTAAAAATTGTTTTTATGGTGGGGACTGAGGGGTGAGAAGGGGTCCATGTTTGGGAGGAGGATTGGGTATACATGGGGGGCAAGGAACAACTGATTGAATATGTAAAAGTACCGGGGCTCCTGGGTGGCTCGGTCGGTTAAGTCTCCGACTTTGGCTCAGGTCATGATCTCACAGTTCATGAGTTGAAGCCCCACGTTGGGCTTGCTGCTGTCAGCGCAGAGCCTGCTTGGGATCCTCTGTCCCCCCCCCTCTCTCCCCCTCCCCCACTTGTGCTGTCTCAAAAATAAAACCTAAAAAACAATAACTAAAAGTACTCAGGATACCGGGAGCAGAAATCTAATTGTGAGGAAACATCAGATCAACCCAAATGGAGGGGTCTGCCTGTGATCTTCTAGACGGTCAAGGTCATGAAAGCCAAGGAAAAACAGGCTTGTTACAAATGGAAAAAGACCAAAGTGACATGATATGTAACATGAGATCCTGGCCTGCATCCTTTTCTATAAAGGGCATTATTGGGACAACTGAAAAGCTTAAATAAGGTCTGAGGATTCTATGCTAGTGGTGTTATCAATGTCATTCCCTGACTCTAAGGGATGTCCCGGGGGGAAACAGGAGAATGTCTTATTCATTGGGAACACACTCAGGTAAGTGTGCAGGGGTCACAGGGCATCATGGCAGCCACTTATTCCGCAACAGTGCAGGAAGAAAATATATTTGCACTGTTCTTGGAACATTTCTGTAAATCTGTGATTATTTCAAAATAAAAAGTTAAACACACACAAGCAACCTATGAGAACAAATGGAGGCCACTCAAAGTACAAGGGCTTTGTAAGTCAAGCAGAATAATAGCTTCTGGGTTACAAAGTGCACTCAAAGGTAAAGGAATCAGGGATGAAACATAGCACAGGCTGGCTTTTATGAAAAAGGAAAGTGGTGGTCAAGACAACAGAGAAACCGTTGACTATTACCTGGGTTGGTAGCAATACCATGAAGATCCATCATGAAATATTTCTTTGTTTTGTTTTGTTTAATTAAAAAAATTTTAATGTCCATTTATTTTTGAAGGAGAGACAGAGTAAGGGCCCGTAAGGGGCAGAGAGAGGGAAACACAGAACCCGAAGCAGGCTCCAGGCTCCGAGCTGTCAGCACAGAGCCCGACGCAGGGCTCAAACCCACGAACTGTGAGATCATGAAGGAAGTCAGACGCTTAACTGACTGAGCCACCCAGGCATCCCTATTCAAATTTTTTTTTTTAACGTTTATTCATTTTTGAGAGACAGAGAGATAGAGCACAGTAGGGTGGGTCAGAGTGAGAGGGACACACAGAATCTGAAGCAAGGTCCAGGCCCTGAGCTGTCAGCACAAAGCCTGATGCGAGGCTCGAACTCACGACCTGTGAGATCATGACCTGAACTGAAGTTGGACGCTTAACCAACTAAGCCACCCAGGTGCCCCTAATTTTTTTTAATGTTTAATTATATTAGAGAGAGAGAGAGACAGAGACAGAGCATGAGCAGGGGAGGGGCAGAGAGAGAGGGAGACACAGAATCCGAGGCAGGTTCCAGGCTCTGAGCTGTCAGCACAGAGCCTGATGCAGGGCTTGAACTCATGAACCGCGAGATCATGACCTGAGCTGAAGTCGGATGCCTAACCGATTGAACCACCCAGGTGCCCCATGAAGTATTTCTTTGAACTAATAGGGTTCCCCACCAATGTCAGTCCCACCAAATGACTGAGCAGTTCTCAACCAGAGTGTGAAGGTTGTAGATGATAAAGACTGAGGAACCATCACAGATCAAAGGAGACTAAGGAGACAGGATGACTAAATGCAATGTGGGAGGGTGGACCAGAGAAAAGGCATCCGGGCAAAGACTGGGGAAATCCAAATACAGTCTGTTGGTCAGTGCAAGAACACTGTACCAAGGTTAATGTCCTGGTTTTGATCACTGTGCTACGGTCCTCAAGGTGTTGACGTTAGAGGAGGCTGGGAGAAGGGTATAGGAGAACTCTCTTGCCATTTTTCAACTTTTCCACAAATCTAAAATTAATTCAAAATAAAATGTTTCTTTCTTTTTTAACAAAAGGATTGGCAGTGGCAGAAGACTTCCATGGGGATTACTTTGAATACTTAAAACAACTAAAATCAGGGGCGCCTAGGTGGCTCAGGCAGTTGGGCAGCTGGCTTCAGCTCAGGTCATGGTCTCACAGTCTGTGAGTTCAAGCCCCGCGTTGGCCTCTGTGCTGACAGCTCAGAGCCTGGAGCCTGCGTCCAACTCTGTGTCTCCCTCTCTCTCTGTCCCTCCCCTGCTTGCTCTCTGTCTCTGTCTCTCTCTCAAAAAATAATAAACATTAAAAAACAAAAACAAATAATCTCATTAGTATTCTACTTTTCTAAATCTATCATCTTTTCTTTAAAAAACTTTTTTTATTTTGAGAGAGTGAGTAGGGGAGGGGCAGATAGAACGGGAGACGGAGGATCCCAAGCAGGCTCTGCACTGTCAGCACAGAGCCCCACCAAGGGCTCAAACCCACAAACCGTGAGATCGTGGCCTGAGCTGAAATCAAGAGTTGGGTGTTTAACAGACTGAGCCACCCAGGTGCCCCTCACCTTTTCCTTTTCCAAAACAATGGAATGCCACAGTGCCTCTTAGGTCTTCCTTAAGAACAATGCAGCTGCTTGTTACTCATTGGCAACAGTATTTCTCCAGTTACAAACTGCAAAGTTAATCCATGAGATACACGGATACATCAGAAAGCAGGGCACTGACGAGACAGAAAGGACGCATCTGGCCCGTCTACTGCCAGAGAGAGACGTGACAGGCAAGATGGCCCACGACATGCGTCAGGCCGCGTCAGGACCAGATCAGAGGGTGCATGAGTGTCATGGTCCTGGATCCACACACACACACACAAAAAAGTCTTCTCAATGGCCTACCTGTCTTTTCCTTGATCTCACAGAGCACACTGAAGAGAGCAGGCTTCATCCGATGGCAATTGAGGGCATGCTTTCTGAAAGGGAAGCAACAGAAGAGAGTGTGAGAGAGACAAGAGTCATCCTGTTCAGGAAAGTAAAGATCTTTCATATTGACCCTGCCGGTTCTGTTGAAAATTGCTCTTACGAAGTGACAGTACAAAAGCATTTCCTATGACTTTCATTTTGTAAAATTCAAATGGAGCAGTACACAAATATTCAAAACATTTCCTCTACATGTGTGTTTTTTTTTAATGTTTATTTATTTTTGAGAGAGAGAGCACAAGTGAGGAAGGGACAGAGACAGAGGGCACAGAGGACCTGAAGCAGGCTCTGTGCTGGCAGCAGTGAGCCTGACGTGGGGCTTGAACTCAAACTCAAGATTGTGACCTGAGCCGAAGTCGGACACTCAACTGCCTGAGCCACTCAGGTGCCCTCCATGAAAAATTTTAAACAATGCAAATTTAAATAATGCAAATAACTTGTCAAGGACTACGAACTTTGGGGGCACATGGGTGGCTCGGTAGATTAAGCATCCGACTCTTGATTTCGGCTCAGGTTATGATCTCACTGTTATGGGATCGAGCCCCATGTCAGGCTCAGTGTGGTGCACAGAGCCTGCTTGGGATTCTCTGTCTCTCCCTATCTCTCTGCCCCTCTCCCCTGCTTGTGCTCTCTCTCTCTCAAAATAAACATAAAAAAAACCAAAAAACCAACAACCCTACGAACTTTCAAGATCCAGTGATTTCAAAGCTGTGTTCACACTATTGCCCTGTCCTGGCACTTTGATGCATAAGCAGAAATGCCAGCCATCCTACCCCAGTGTCCTGAGATGTTAACTTAGTAGGTGTTTACTGAGCAGCCTCTATGTGCCATACACCATTCCAGTGTCACAGACACAGACAGATGAGGTTCCTACCCGCGTGGCAGTTAAGAGGGAGGGAGTGAGAGACACCAAACGCACACACAAACGAGATAACCACGAGCCACAGCAGGTGCATTGTGGCAACAGACTAGAGTGATGGGTAGAAGGCTTACTGGAGTTTGAATGTCTCTGATGTGACCTCAATGCTGAGATCAGAATGACAAGAAGTCAGGCAGGAAACGAGAGGCTGAAGAGAGTAATAATTTAGATTGAGGAACCAGCCAGTGCAAAGGCTAAGTGAGAATACGCTTGGCTTTTTAAGAGACCAGGATGCTGTGGAGTAAGGGGTGAGGGAGAGAGCCGGGAGGTGAAGTTAGGCAAGGGGGAGTCACCTAGAAGAGCCTTGTCAGTCAGGGGAACAACTCTGGCTTTTGTTCCTGGTGATGGGAATGGTGGTTGGCAGAAGAATGGCTCCCAAAGATGTCCATGTGCTAATCCTCAGAATATGTTACACTGGAAAAAGAATTCTGTGGCTGTGATTAAGGTTAAGGACCTTGAGATGGGGAGATTAGCCTGGATTACCCAGATGGGCCCAATCTAATCATACAAGTCCTTAAAAGTGGACAACCTCTTCTAGCTGTGTTCAGAGAGAGATACAGTGACACGGAGTCAGAGACACTATGCTGTTGGCTCCGAAGACAGAGGAAGAAAACTGCAAGCCAAGAAATGCAGGTGGCTTCAACAAGCTGGAAAAGGCAAGGAAATGGACTCTTCCCCTGTGGCCTCCAGAAGGAAGGCGGCCCGACTTCAGCTCAGGTCATGATCTCACAGCTTGTGAGTTGAAGCCCCGCACCGGGCTCTGTGCTGACAGCTCAGAGCCTGGAGCTTGCTTCGGATTCTTTGTCTCCCTCTCTCTCTCTCTCTCTCTCTCCCCTTTCAAAAATAAACACTAAAAAAAAAGTTTTGGGGTGCCTGAGTGGCTCAGTCAGTTAGGTGTCCGACTTCAGCTCAGGTCATGATCTCACTGTTCGTGAGTTCGAGCCCCGCGTCAGGCTCTGTGCTGATAGCTCGGAGCCTGGAGCCTGCTTCGGATTCTGTGTCTCCTCCTCTCTCTGCCCCTCCCCGGCTCACACTCAGTCTCTGTCTCTCTCAAAAACAAACAAACATTTAAAAAAATAAATACAATTCAATGGCTTTTTGGAAATTCACAATGTTTAATCACCACCACTGTCTATTTCCACAACACTGTCACCACCCCCCTGAAGAAATCCTGTTCCCATTAGCAGTCATTCCCCATTCTCCTCTCCTCCCACCCAGCAACCACCAATCTTTTGGTCTCTATAGGTTTGTCTCTGGACAAATGTCTCCTGGACATTTCATATAAATGGAATCACAGAGTATGGGACCTTATGTGCCTTTCCCATAGCATGTTTTCATGGTTCTTCCAAGTTTTTGTGTATCACTGCTTCATCCCTTTTTAAGGCCAAATAATATTCCATTGTATGAATAACTTTTGTTTGTCCATTTATCAATTGATGCACTCTTGGGTTGTTTCCACTTTTGGCTATTATGAATAATTATGCTATGAACATTCACGCATAAGTTTTTATGTGAGCGTGTGTCTAGGGAGAATTGCTGAGTCATATGGTAACTGTTTAACCTTTTGAAGAAATGCCAAACTTTTTTTTTAATGTTTATTTATTTATTTTTGAGAGAGAGAGCAGGGGAGGGCCAGAGAGAAGGGGAGAAAGAGAATCTCAAGCAGACTCTATGCTGTCAAGTGCAGGGTCTGATGCAGGGCTCAATCACGAACCATGAGCCAAAATCAAGAGTTGGACACTTAGGGGTGCCTGGGTGGCTCAGGCGGTTAAGCATCTGACTTCAGCTCAGGTCATGATCTCACAGTTCAAGGCCCATGTCAGGCTCCTGCTGTCAGCACAGAGCCCACTTTGGATCCTCTGTCCCCCTTTCTCTCTGCTCCCCCCACTCTCGCGTGTTCTCTCTCAAAAATAAGCAAACGTTAAAAAAAAAAAAAAAAAAAGAGCCGGACACTTAACCGACACATCTACTCAGGCGCCGCAAGGAAATGCCAAAATTTTATAAAGTGGCTGCATCATTTTCCATTCTCATCAGCAATTAAGATTCTAATATCTCTTGGGGCGCAGTCGGTTAAGTGTCCGACTTCAGCCAGGTCACGATCTCGCGGTCTGGGAGTTCCTCGCGGTCCGGGAGTTCGAGCCCCGCGTCAGGCTCTGGGCTAATGGCTCAGAGCCTGGAGCCTGTTTCCGATTCTGTGTCTCCCTCTCTCTCTGCCCCTCCCCCGTTCATGCTCTGTCTCTCTCTGTCCCAAAAATAAACGTTGAAAAAAAAAATTTTTTAAAAAAGATCCTAATTTCTCCGCAACCTCACCCAAACTCATTATTGTCTTTTTTTACTATAGCCACACCAGTGGGTGTGAGGCAGTATCTCATTATATTTTTTTGGAATGTTTTGATTTATATTTCTCTAAAGACTAATGACATCGAGCATCTTTTCAGGTGTTCATCGGCCATTCTTTTTTGGGGAAATGTCTATTCGAATTCTTTGCTCATTCTTTAATCGGGTGATGTCTTTTTTATTGTTGAGTTGTAAGAGTTCTTTATATTTTCTGGATACTAGACTCTTAATATATGATTTGCAAGTTTTTTCTCGCATTCTGTGAGTTGTCTTTTTACTTTCTTGATAGTGTCGTTTGAAGCACAAAAGTTTTTCATTTAGTGAAATCCAACTTATCTATTCTTTTGTTGCTTGTGCTTTAGGCATATCTAAAAAACCGTTATTTAATTCAAGGTTATTAAGATTTATGCCTATGTTTTCTTCTAAGAGTTTTACAGGGTTGGCTCTTACACTTAGGTATTTGATCCATTTCATTTTTGTATGCGGTGTTAGGTAAGGGTTCAAATGCTTTCCTATTTTTTTGTTTGTTTGTTTACTTTTGGGAGAGAGAGAGGAGCTGAGAGAGAGGGAGATAGAGAATCTGAAGCAGACTTGGAGCTGTCAGAGCAGACCCCAGTAGGGGGCTCAAACCCACAAACCATGAAATCACGGCCTGATCCGAAGTCAGATGCTTATGACTGACCCCATCAAATGAATTCTTTTCCATGTGCAGATCCACTTATCCAGACCATTTGTTGAAGACACCATTTCTTCCCCACTCAACGGTCTTAGCACCCTTGTAGAAAATCAATTGGCCATATATATATACATACATATATATATATATAT